TGTTCCAAAAGGACAAATCCGTAAGTTGAATTATAAGTCCAAAAAATGAAAAAAATGTTTTTGACCTGGCACCCCATTTTTTGAAAATAAAGCATTCCGATACCGATATAGATTGTTCTAGTTGTTCCAAACATTGTTTCAAAAGCACAAATCAATAAGTTTAATTATAAGCCCAAAAAATTAAATAAAAGTTTTTTGACAAACTGTCTGTCGGATCAAGAGTAAACTTATACTATCTTTCTTGTTCCAATCGAGATCTTTTTGTTCTGAGTTGTTCTAGGCTTAAGAATTATAGTTCTAGAGTATGAGACTCATAAGATCATTCGTTCTCCGAAAATTCGTAAAAAAATCGATTTGACAGTACTCGACGTCAAGAGTAAACACATGCTTCCTTTTTTGTTCCAACCGAGATCTTTTTGTTCTGAGTTGTGTTAAGCTTAAGAATTATAGTTTTAAAATAAAGTGAAATTGCTTCGTCGTTTAAGCCTAGTATAACTCAGAACAAAAAGATCTCAGTTGGAACAAGAAAGGAAGCATGTGTTTTCTCTTGACGTCGGGTGCTGTCAAATCGATTTTTTTTCGAATTTTCGGAGAACGGATGACGCTACGAGTCTCATACTCTAAAACTATAATTCTTAAGCCTAGCACAACTCAGAACAAAAAGATCTCGGTTGGAACAAGAAAGATAGTATAAATTTACTCTTGGTCTGATAGACAGTTTGTCAAAAAACTTTTTTTTAATTTTTCGGGCTTATAATTAAACTTATTGATTTGTGCTTTTGGAACAATGTTTGGAACAACTAGAACAATCTATTGCGGTATCAAAATGTTCGATTTTCGAAAAGTGAGGTGCCAGCTAAAAAAATCATTTTTTTGTTTTATTCGAAAACCGTTTCGAATGAAGCAATATCACTTTGGAACAATGTGATACAAAGTCAGAACAATCTGGAACAACTTTCAAAATTATAAATTTCAAAAAGTGGGGTGCCAACTTTATACACTCTAGGTTAACCGAACATTGCTTTTTGTAAACTGAATCTATCTTTGAGCGAGAGTCGAAGTCCACCGACCGACAGAAATGGACATACAGCATGCGGATCGAGATTTCTCGCGTATGGGGAATTTATCACATAATAAAATGAAACAGCCGTCGGAAGCTGTCGTTTTACAAGCGACGTTTGTCCCATCGAAAGAGAGTGAGCGAGAGAGACATAGGAGGAAAAGGAAAAGGGGAAGCAAGAGGAAAACTCCGCGAGACGTTATTAGGATCGCAGTTGCCGGCGTCGATCACAGCACATTCAGCATTGCTGTAGCAAAACGCAACAGCAGCACATACGTCAGTTCTTTCCTGAAACAATGCGCGACGCAGTCTGCGCTGGCCATTATCGTCGTTTCACGACGCGAGATACGAGTTTTCTTCCCTCGTAAAATCGTCAACCCCTGTTAGGCATGCCGTAAGGACTCATCAAACGATGATAATAGTACACTTCTAATCGGCTTTTGAATTCCACGAAGCGAATGTCGAGTCGTGGTGAATCGGTCGTGATGATAATAATAATAATAATTATAACTATAATTGGATATGTAAATTTAAATTACATTGTACTTTAATTGGATAAATTAGAATTAAATTATAAAAAAGCGAAATTTAACGTATATAAATTTATGATAACTTTCGAAACATAATAATACCAAATAATACATCTCTTACGGAATAAAAATCGATAATCGCCGAATAATTCTTAACAAAACAGTAAAATAATATAATAAACAATGAATAACTACAAAATTTACTGATATTCTTTTTGTATTTACAGATATTAAATTTTTATTCTTCTTGTTATCAAAAGTTATTCAGTTATTCTTATTCCATAAAATAGCCTTTATTAAACGATATTCGTGTGAATTATACAATTGTTATTTCATGTTCAAGGTGAGAGAGAATGATACAGTTATCATACAGCAAAATTACAGCATTATAATATTAACAGTATAATGTACTTATAAGAAAACACATGGGAAACGTCCATCTTTTATTTTGATGAGCTTAAAATACATATGTTGTAATCTAGGTCAAAATAAGAGATACATTTTTTCTATCGGCCTTTTAGAAAATGAAAAAATTCCTTTAAAAAAAAACGGTATTTTTTCATGTTTTAAGAGGATGTTTCATTATTGAAAGACCTATTAGGCACGCAAAGAAACGTATCCCTTATTTTGGTCTAGATTACAACATATTTCAAGCTCATAAAAATCGGAGATGGACGCTTCCATGTGCTTCCTTGTAAAATAAAAATACGAATGTCTGGACACGTCCCTAACCCTGGACACTTTCTTTGTTTCAATCTTCAAATAAGAATAATGAAACTTTGAGTAAAAATAAAATATGTTCTTATATTTTAAAGTTTTAATTAAGATATTTTATTTACGGTTTTAATTAATATGTATAAAGTTTAATTTGTTGACTTAATTAAAAATTTATATGTCCAGACATATCGGTATATTCGCATTACAGTTTTTTGCTTGCTAAATATAGGTTATGAAAACTAATATGTAATTAATTTTTTACTTTTAAAAAATAATATAGTATTCTTTTAACCTTTTCAAAATGTTACTTGCGCAAAAAGATTCTCTTTAAGATTAGGATTTACATATCTTTTTTTCATTAGATCTGTCTCGACTCTTCATTATTCAGAAATCGGTACATATTTACCTAAATTGTCCTCAACTAGAATAAAATTAATGTGACACTGTTGTTAGTTTTTATAATAGAATTTATATAAAAATTCGTAGTGGACGGGTTTGTATGTATCATTGATTTAAAAAAAATCGTGAATGATCAGAAAACAGGACTTTTTATTGACAAGAAAACACATATAATGTCCGATTTAGGTGGGCTTGAAATTTGTTGTAACTCAGACCAAAATAAGGGACACGTATTTTCTTATACGTACGCAATCGGAGGTAAAACACCCTTTTGATAAAAATCGGTTTTTTCAGAACATGCACCGACAAAAGTATAAAAGATAAAAAAATTTTTCTAAATGAAAATTAAACGATTTTTTAGGTGTACTTTATAATAATATAAAATCAGTTTTTGTTTTAAAATGCTATAATTTTCAACATATCCTCACCACTTACAAATTATTTTTTAGAATTTGAAAATTGAATGTCTACTAGTTAAAAATATATTTTATGACAAATCCAATTATATAACACAATGTAATTTTTCGACGTACATACTTTTTGAAAAATAGATGAAAATATTCCCGTATATCCATAACGCTATGCATAACCGCCTATTTCATTCGATAATATACGCAACATGTACATATCCCCACCACTCACAAATTATTTTTTAGAATTTTAAAATTTAATGTCTATTAGGTAAAAATATATTTTATGACGAATCTAATTATATAACACAATGTAATTTTTCGACGTACATACTTTTCGAAAAATAGATGAAAATATTTCCGTATATCTATAACGCTATGCATAATTGCATATTTTATTCGATAATATACGCAACAATTTTATTCTAGTTACAAGTTAGTTAAATGTATACCGATTTCTGAACAATGAAGAGTCGAGACAGATCTAATGAAAGAAAGATATGTAAATCCTAATCTTAAAGAGAATCTTTTTGCGCAAGTAACATTTTATATATCATAATATATAATATATATATATATATATATATATATCAAATAATATATCATTTTTCAAAAGTAAAAAAACTTCGAACTTCCTCATAATAATAAGCGATTTGTACTGATATGCAGACTATGTAACCATGAAACATATAACAATGTTAATAATAACAATAACAATAATAATAACAATAATAATAACAATAGTTATATATTCCTATACTTTGCCTTTATAAAAAGATATATATATATATATATATATATATATATATATATATATATATATATATATATATATATTTATTTATTTATTTATACGTCCTATAAAAGTAAAATTTTTTATGCCAAATATGTGTATTTATTTTTGTGGTATTTGACGTTTAAGTACTACGACAAAAGCGATATATGAGTTGCAAAATCAATAATGTTTATTAAAAGTTTCCACCGAATTTATGACATATTGAAAACGCCACATTAATAAAATCATGCATTGCATAATTGTATCTAATGTGATGTTAATAACGTAATTATTTATACACACATGCATACACATATACATATACAAATACACATTTTCAATCGTGAAAGTCGATAAGACGTTATGCTGTCGTATTATTGTCATATCTTCGTTCCACCCTGTTTACTTTCAATTTAGTCATAGGTCTAATAAAAACTTGATAATAAGTTTCGTTGACATTGGAGTTGTTATGTGAGATACTTAAAGTGCTACAAAACAACCAAGTTTGTGCGACTCAAATCTGTCATGTTTATTAATGTGTAGTTTCCACTTGACTTATTGGCTGTATTCCAATATTCACTGTCAGTATTGAAAATCTATGGAATATGTTAGCACGCTTTCATTAGCATTATATTAATTTGTATTTTTGAAATTCGCCTTAACGAGTCGCATAGAATAGACTTGCCCTTGCGGTGATCAATAGATTAACTTCGACATGCTTGCCGAAATTAATATTATTCTGCGATGATCTCTGTGTTTCATATTATAAAGGATTAATGGATTATTTACAGTATTCGGTATCTGTTGATCGTTCCGAAGTGCTCCGTTTGCTAACTGTTGACTCGCTAGAAAGCTTGAGAGCTTTTATCAGGATGAGAATTAATATTCATATAAGCGTAACCCAATTTTTATCCATCGTAATATTTGTAAATTTGTTTTTTACTGTTTTCATGTACTTTAGTGCCTGGTTTATTAGCCAAGTGCTAATTTTAAAAAAATTTATTCTTGGGAAAAAATATTGCAACTAGTGGAGAGATAATAAATAATTTTTCAAGATTGAGGGAAATCTTTGATGAAAAAATTATGGAATGAGAAGAGTATATAAATAAAAAGTATTCATAGAAACCACGGTCGTTCATACATGAGTCGGTGGTCATATGTGAGTCGTTGGTTCATATATGAGTCGTAGAAACCACGGTAGTTCATATATGAGCCGATGATAGCGAATGTATTAAAGGAAGTTTTAAACACACACATAGCAATATGCACTTATAAACTTGCACTCGCAAATAGTACGTCGTGAAACGATGGATACTCACTGCGACACCAGTTCTTATATTATTGCTTATATATAACATCTCTCATGTGTATCCCTACACATGCTTACTCATGATTTGCGTCGCACAAACTGACCGTTTTCCAGCACTTTAAATATCTCATATAACAACTCTAACGTCAATGAAACTTGTTATTAAGCTTCTATTAGATCTATGACTCAAAGTAAACAGGAAGGAAAGGAGATATAACAATAATACGAAGATACAACGTCTTATCGGCTTTCACGATTGAAGATGTGTATTTATATGAATATGCGTATATGAATAATTACGTTATTAACATTATATTAGATGCAATTAAGCAACCTATAATTTCTTTAATGCGGCATTTTCAATATGTTATAGATTCAGTGGAAACTTCGCGTTAATAAACATGATCGATTTTGAAACTCATGTATCGTTTCTGTCATAATATTTGAACGTCAAACACAAAAATATATATATAAATTTGTCATAAATTTTACTTTTATGGAGCGTGTATATATATATATATATATATATATATATATATATATATATATATATAAAGTATAAGAATATATAACTATTGTGTATAAATCTATTATTGTTATTATTAACGTTGTTATATATTGAAATGTTTTATGGTTACATATTATCGAGTGAGATAGACGGTTACGGATAGCGTTATGGATATACAGAGATATTTTCACCTATTTTTCGAAAAGTCCGTATGTCGAAAAATGACATTGTTATATGTAGTTAGATTCATTATAAAATATATTTTTTACCTTTTGGTAGGCATTAAATTCTTTTATTCTAAAAAAAATTTGTGAGTGGTGGCAGTATATTGAAAATTATAACATTAAAAAGAAGTGGTTATGTTATTATAAAGTACACTTAAAATCGTTTAATTTTTATTTAAAAGATTTTTTTCTATCTCTTATACTTTTGTCGATGTATACTCAAAAAGAAAAAAACCGATTTTTTTCAAAGAGGTGTTTTCCTAAGAGTCCGATTAGATACGTATAAAAAAATATGTGTTCCTTATTTTAGTCTGGATTGCAACATATTTCAAGCCCATTCAAATTGGAACACTTGCATGTATATCCTTCTGAATACCATTTAAAGGACAATTGTTTAATATATAAGATGCGGTAATCTCAAATTAATCCAAGCATATAGTGAACGTTAATGATCCCTTAATACAAACATTTTTAAACATCGTAAATTATACATGTCACATATGTGCAAGTATCGATACGTCGTGATCGAATATCGATCATCGGAAACAAAACGTGAAAAATTTCGGCAAGCATTTGCAAACATTAAATACGGAAAAACAGTGTTGACAAACGACGTTCAATTAAAACGTTAATGTGTATTTCCGCGAGCTAGGATGCGCTTCGCGCATAATTACCGATACAGTCATTAACGCGCGCTAAATGTATGTGCTGAAAACAAATCACTAATGAATTAATAAATTTATGGCAATTTTATGGAAACGTTATGAGAATGCCATTATTTACAATGTTGTTATATTACGTTGCTGTTATTTACACAAGTTTCCCTTCATTTACAATAAACCTCTGCGCTTAATTGTAGATCGTTCGACTCTCCTCCTTTTCAACGTGATATTTAACATACCAAAAATATATACGTAAAAAATATAGATTTACTATTTATAACGGGTGTGACGGTTCAAAACGCGCTTGTACCTCTGCTGTTCTCAACGATTCGCCTCCTCTCCTTTAGAAGTTCCAGGAACTTCGCCCTCGGACTTCCGGGATACTTCAATTCTACGCTCGGAGGTCCGAATTTGTGATTCATCGAGTCGATCCTCAGGCTATCCTTTGATCCCGTGTTCTTCGTCGTAATTTCGTCCTCTTCGCGGAACATTCGTCCTGCCTCGACAGGAAAACTCGCAGGATCCGTCAAAGAATCGAGATATTCCAGCTTTGTGTTCAAAATCGTAGGCTCGTTTGACATTTTAATGTCCACTAACTGATCTCTGTTTTCCGCTGATGGCTTGTCGCAATCGCGATATTCAGCAGGATCGATCTCAGACTCGGTCGATGTCCAAGTCGATCCGACGTTTTCCGTTGGTCCCGAGAGCTTTGTTTTCCTAAAGTCTCGCGGACTACTCTCGATTCCGCCAAGATAATCCTGCGGGATTTCATGGAAATCAAAGGCTCCACGAGTGTTTTGGCAGAAAGTTTGCCGAAATTTCGAGCAAGTCGTCGGACTCCGCGCCCTAGTATCGGAAATCTTCCAAAGACGTCTCTGTCGGGGTCTCGTCAGACTCCAATACCAATAGCTGCTGGAATCGGCCGCGTCCATCAGCTGGTCGAAAATTCTGTGCTCGAGATCATTCCGCGACTTGAGATTGTTGTTTTTCACGTCGTTAGGATCACCCTTATCAACTTCGACGACTCCCTGCCTTTCTCTCTCGTTCAAGTCGGACCGCTTCACGACGTCAGCTCGATTGGAAGACAAAAAGGACGAGGAGACCTTGGAAGGGCCTAATACGTTGACGTCGTCCTCGGGAATCACGTCCTCACGTTGACAAATCTTATCGTCCTTGCTTACGGCGAACGTTCTCCTGGAATCTACGCTGGGACTCGCTAAACCCGATTTAGCGCCAGCAGACTCGACGTCGATACCGTATTTGTCGCGGAGGAGCCGGTTATGCTCGCTGACTTTGTCGATGCAGGCCTCCAACCTCTCAATACCCTTCAGACACTTGTCGTAAGACTCGACACGGACGACTTCATCGTAATCATCGTTGTTGTCGTCTGGTTTCAGATGCTTGTCGGCGTCGTCCTTCGGAATCTCTCTGCGTCCTCGTGATTTCGTGTAATCCTTGTGATCACGCCTCTGACGGTCCCTTCGCCTCCTACGACATTTCCCATAATTTTCCAACATGTTCGTGGCACTCATGTACTCGTTTATAGAGTTCATGTTGCGCATGAAGGTCATCGCCTCGTTCAGGTACTCCTCGAGTATATTTCTCCTGGACGCCGCGCGAAAACCGGCCTCGTCCTCGTCCTCGCTGATCACGCTGTCCGACTCACTGTAGATCTCCTCAAGACTGTCTTCGTTGGAGAACTCCACCTTCTTATCGCTTGACTGTTCCTTGGAGTTTTCGAGGTCTTCGTTCTCTCTCGCAACAGACGGGACTTTCTCATTTATCGTTAACTCCAACTTTTTTCGCTGCGAAGATTGATCAATCTCGACGTTCGACCGCACGACGTCCAAGCTTTCAGCCGCGCCTGATTTCTTTTTCTTCATCTTCTTGATGATAGACTTCAAGATCATCTGCTTCGGTTTTACCAAGGCTTTGGGATTAGACACGATGTCCTTTATCTCCTCCGGGCTGCTGGGATCCGAAAAAGACACCTTCTTCTTATTGATATTGTCACACACGCCTGGTATTTCAGCGCTGATTCCTTCTTCAGAGTCATTGTCCACGACATATGAGAACGACCCGAGAATCAGCGACTTATAGTCGTGTATTGGATTCTGGCTCGATGCTTCGGCAGGTTTCTTCTTTGGCAACTCCACCTCGGTGATGTCGAAATCGTCGTCCATCGAGGACTGCGCATTAATCGCGTCTACGTGACTCGCGGGTTTCGAAGTTTCCTTCTTCGTGTGTGCAACTACATCGGGGGGACAGAGGTTTTCGTAACTTTCATGCGAATCCGTGAGTTTCGCATCGCTCGCTTCCCTGGCGACGTTGTCTTCCTCGTAATCGAGACTGTCGTCGGAAAAATTATGATCATAATCCAATAGAGACTTTATCGGGACGGATTCCAGTTTCTTCGAGTCCTCGAAATTGCTGGCAGTTTGACAGAATGAATGACGGCTCGTATCTTCCACAATTTTATCGTCGGAAGTACATTCGTCGTTTATCGCGGAAGAAGACCGATCATCAACTGATCTCAGATCAGTGTCGACCATTTCTCTACTGTAGCCAACGAGGCCTGGCGACTTTCCCGGACACGGTAGAGTCCAGTTCTTCCAGAGTTCGTGACGGACGAGCCTGTACGCCGGTCTTCTGGGGCTCAAGCTGTAGCTGCGTCTTCTCGCGATGAAGGCCCGCGTCAAGCCGTCCTTGAAAATCGATCGTTTCTTCTGTCCAGAATGCTGAAGATACATCTTATCCCACTCCATCTCCGTGCCGTTCTCCTTCATTTCGATGATAGAAGAAGTGCCTAACGAGTTTCTGAAAGTCACCGACTTTTTTATCGCGGTATCCTTTCTCAGATCGAAAGCCGCATCGGAGGAGCTCTTACTCCTCGGGTCTTGGAAGATATTCTCGATTCTAAAAATCCTGCCGTCCGCCTGAATAGCCGTCGATCTGACCGAGAGGTCCTCCAAAAAGGATCCCTCAACTTGGTGTTTCACTTGCTTATCCGTCTGAGACTCTTTGTCACTAGAGACGGGTTTCGGTTTCTCCTCCACGAGATCGCCGCCATCCATCACGGCAATTCTGGACTCCAAACCGTTCGTGCTCTCGATCGTTATGTTGATCATATCCGGTAAGGATATCGAGATGACGTTCTTTTCGGGATTGTTCGCCGGTGTCAAACTACAGCACTGTATCCCACATCCAGTATCCTTCCGCTGGTGGACCGCCTCTTGGCACATCACTGTCTGCGCGGCCGAGTTCCTTGAAGGCGACGAGACGAAGGTGTTGGTCCAACTGTCCGCGCACGGCGCTTTCTTGTCACCCTCTGGGTAAAACTCAGATACCTCGGCACTCTCAGACTGATTGCTCTTCGCATAATTCTGTGTGTCGTCGGACAGTATAACGGAGTCGTTTCGCGGAGAACGCTGAAGCGGCTGCTTAGTGTCCTTGAACTCCAGGTCATTCACCAAGCTCTCGGCGTCCTTGCAACGATAGATGTTAGTCCGTGGTCGGTCCGTCAACGTGGCGATATCCTTCACTCGCAAAACCGGCATTCGGTAATCCATCGTGGTCGTTGGTGACCCTTCGCAGTTCGTGTGGTCGTCCGTGAGCACCCCCACGTCTTGAAGCACTACCTTGGGTTCATCCGTGAGGCTCGCAGTGTCCTTAAAACGTAATGTCGACGCCGTCTCCGTTTGCGTCTCCACGTTGATCCTACGTCGCTTCAACAGCATCTTCCGCGAAATCTCCTGGAGCTTCGTTCTCGCGGCGAAGCCGCTACTGCTGCTGCTGCTGTTGGGTATCTTCATGTCGGTGCCCTCTGGCGGGGAACGTGTGCCCGACGTATTGCCACTATTGGTCGCCATGTTGTTGGTCTCCTCCGTGTGCTTCCTGCTGGAGTAAAGTCGTTCAGTGACGGCTGCTACGATCTCGGCACGCTTCACTCGCTGGATCGCCGTGTGCGGCCTAGCTATCGCTTCCTGTTCCAAGGAACTCTTCCTGCGCAATAGTTTGTCGCGCGTCAAGCTCGAGATTAGGATCTGCTCTTCCTTAGAACTGCTGGAACTGCTGTCCTTGCTGGTCTTCCTTTTCAGATTCTCCAAACTCGGTTTTCTATAGATGTTGTTGTTACTGTTGCTGCTCTTCCCGCTGATAGAATCCTTCAGGCTCTTGTCAGAGTCGTTGCTGCTCTTTCTTTGCAGCTGATCTTTGCTGCCGACACTGCCGATTGCCTTCCAGATGCTGGCCAACTTGACGTTCCCCTTGCGGTCGTCGACTTCTCTGATGTTGTTGAGCTTCTTGCCTCGGTCGGGCAGTGTTGAACGTTTCTCTAGGTTCGTGTGCGACCGCTGGAGAGCGACGATCGGCTCCTTCTTCTTGCTGATCCCTTCGATGGAGCCGAACTCCCTCGAGACGTTCAGATTCGACGACGGTAGATCGACAGAGTTTTGCTTGCTGAACTTACCCTTCGGCCTGCTCCGTTCGACGGATGCTGGATTCGACGGAGTCTGCGGCAGCTCACCGATCCCCGAGTCTTCTAGAGCACTGCAGTAATTCACGGAACCGTCGCCACGATCGTCCAGTTCGACATCATCGATTTTGTATGATCCGTCCAAGTCCTCGTTGCTGCCTTCAATGAAGTCGGCGTCGATCGAATCCTCCTGCACCTCGTCAGAACAAATCTCCTCTATCTGCGTTGAGGACTCTTGCAGACTGTCGTCCGGCTTGATCAACACCGCCACCAACGTCGGTATGTCCACGAAGACCGGCTCGTTGATCTCGTCCACTACCTCGTCCTCTTCGTCGTTCAACTCGGTGACTCTCGCCCGGTTGTAATTACCAGTGAAATGGTTCGTCGACTGCAAATACTCGTAGGAGCTGAACTTTCTGACGAATCCCGAACAACCGGTCTCGTAAGTCGTCACACTGTCGCTCGAGTTGAACCTCCTGATCGGCAATGCGTCGAAGGACTTCTTCGATAACGCGCAATAGTTCTTCGAAGCGGGATCCCGGAGGCGCGAGGTGTCGTGCGTGTCTTGTTCCTCGCAATATTGAGGATTCGTCGACGAATCCGTTGAACTTTGAACTTTGCCGCAACAACACGGTTTCTTAGTCCCCTGGTCGATATCCTGCAACAAGATGATCGTATAACTAATTTTATTTAAATTCAAAGCAAATTCCGTGTTTGCGAGGTTTTCTAAGACCTTATAGTTTTAACGCCTTGCCACATTATACACAGAGTGTCCCAAAACTATCGACGCGCACCCCGTGTGAATTTTCATTAAGAATTGATGATACTCGTCTTTTATAATATTTCGAAATATATTTAACATTTTTAAGTATAACTGAGGTCTGCTTTTTAAAGAAGCTATTTGCAACTTACAAGTCAATCGGTAGTCACTCTGTCCATTCGTCAGGCCAAATTATTTAACATTATTTTCGGCACAAAGATGAATATACAGCTCTTATTAGCCCGTTTAATTCTCTCAAAGCCTTATATTCATTATATTTTATTTTATAATATTTTCCTCTACGATATACGTTACACACGTCTCCATGTATAACAGTTATAACACGCCGCCCGTAACAAAGAAATTACGGTGGTGCATGAATAATATCACATCGCGGCCTCGAAACACGGTGTGAAAGCTCACGACCGACTGAGTCACGATTGCAGGCGGGGCGCATGAGGAATTTAATTAATCGACGATTATGCAATGTGCGGAAATGAAGGATAGCGCGGCCCGGCTGATGGAAATGGAAACGCGGATCGCTCGTTAAGCGTAACGCACCGACGTGTTGTATTTTATCAGCAATCGTTCGGCCAATCGGCTCGCGACGGACGCTCAATAAGTGTCAAATAAACGATCGATGAATCTCATTTGCGTAATGACATCGGACAATATCGCCCCGCTTTTCGTATTGGTAAACCCCGATAATAAACTCCCGCGCCCTCGGCGGCGAGTGTGAAGCGCGGCTGAAAAATCGGCCGCTATTTATCGCGGATCCGCGTTTCACGTCGGGAGCGAAATTGCGAAATTTGTTTTATAATGCCGCTCGCTATTACCGATCGCGCGCGCCGCTCGAGGCTCATTAATATTTTCCGCCAGGAGCATGCGAACGCTCCAGCCGCGTTATAAAGTCGCTCGATCAACATCAGACCGGGGATTAAATCCTTTCGCATTTTCAGCCTCGCCTCCCGCCAAAAGCCCGATTCTTCATTCTTGTCGCGCCGCGGGACAAGCGGGAGAATGCTCCGCTAATTTTTAATCGATCGAACTGAAGCTCTCTCGTGTAAGGATACGCGTGATAAAAATACCAGAGCTGTTCTGTCGCACGGAATAGGACCCTTAGCACATGAATGATCGGCGTCTCATTGGGAAATTCCACTCAATAGCGGAGTCTGTCGCGTCTGTCGTATCTGTCGCGTCTCGCTCGAAATTTTATCGGTTTTCTCAAAGAAGAAAGTTTCAGATGCTCTCTAAAGTGCAATCAGTGTCTCCTTTACTGAAACGCTGTACTTATAACCCAATATTGAATCTGGTTGTGACACAACCGGATTGATGCCAATCGTACTATATTTTCCATATGGTTTAGTTGTAAGTATAGCACCGCAATCAGTAAAATCTCACTGAAAGGATCAGTTAATGGTAACGAATGTTCCCGTTATTGTTGTATTTTGCGAGCACAGACAATGTTATTGCACGCAAGACGCATGGAAGCCGTTACAAGTACGGAAAGTTGCGTTAAATATAACATAACGGATTTGAGCAATACAGATTTTACAGCGAAATTTTATGAACAAAAGCAGTGGGATGTAAGTCATAATCACAAAGTGGAAATGTTTCTATTGTTTTTCTGATACTTTTGGATTATCAGTAGAACTTTTAATAATTCAATCAAAAGCATTTTCACTGATTCACTTTAAGAGAGCGACATTCCATGTTACATAATGCTTGATAACTCGATTTCTTTAACGTCAGATGACGTATTGATTTATCAGTCAATTCTGCTGATTGGTCAATTTACTCAAATGCCGGAGCAACTTTCTCATATAAACCGCAGGATAAGGTTGCCTTGAGTTTCTTGCCTTCTCGAGTAACAAGGACTTGAGCCTGGCGACTTCGTCCCTCAACTCGCGGATAAGTCTTGCCACGGGATCCTCGTTGACCACCGGTCGGTTGACCACGCTCTGCGCCCTTTGCGCGAATCGTAGGGTGTGTGCGGTCTCGTTGTAACTTCCGCTGGCCGGAGATATCGCTGAAAGAGACAGTGGTACGGGCGTTAACGCCGCAAGAGCACATCGTACGCGACGGAGCGTTCCACAACTACGACTAATTAATTCATACGGTGCGATTTCTCGGTTGATATGCATTCTAAGCACGATCGTACGTCAACGATCGAGTGATCGAGGACGAAAGATTCGTTCGAGTAATGCCTACTGGAAATGCCTATCGCAGAGCGCTGCTTGTCTATTCGTAGACAAACTGTGGGACATCGTGCGAGAGATTTCTATCAGATGTCACGCGGGTCTTTGGCAACTTTGCGAGAAACATTCCGTGTTCTCTAATTCGCGCATCTCCAATTGCATCTACAATCATACTCTGTGATGTCTCAGAAAAAGGCCCGCACAAAGTCCGCTGCATTTTGCAATTTCGCGCATTCGCAGATAATCAGACAACTCCGAGACCCGATTAAAAATCGATCCCGTGGTCTCGATCAGGTTGGTCCCAATCAGTTACCTGCTTTATGTACAAGGCAATGTTATCGAGCCCTAATATGTCATCTAACGCAGCGCGGCAGTCAATACCTTATTAATAATTAGAACTTTAATTAATAGTTAAGTCCCGATAACATCACAAACCAGATAACTGATTGGGACCAATTTGATCAGGCGATAAATTGGATCAGGCGATGACCATGGGATAAATTTCTATTCAGCAAGTGACGAAAGCTCCCGGACGCTTAGTTCGGAGACGTGCAAAAAAGCTCAATATAACACTCGAAATCGTAATATCCGACAATTACGGGACAACACGTCACGCTGTCGAATTAACTGAGCATTCAGACGCCCGCCGCGAACAACATCAGCGACTGAAGTCTATCAAAATCCTCGCGTGGCGTCTATCGGATTATAATCGGCGGCAAAATGTACGAAGCGGAGCTTCGGGCGCTCGCCCCCACACGTGGACAAGTCAACTGGAAATAACTCACGGCTCACTCGTCGGGGGCCGGATAATTCGAAATGGATTTCGGACGGGTGGCGGCGGCGGCGGAGATATCTTTTCCAGACGTCGTACGGTCGTCGCACGAAATCGACATATAAAATCCGCCATTGCCGGGACGGCGGCAATACGCGGGTACCGCGGATAATGTATGTCTATTCATCTACGCTCGCGCGGCTCAATCACAAATGCGGGTCCGCTGAATATTAAACGTCTCCCGATAATAAACCGAAATGCTATTAGCAATTCAATTAATTGCCGATGATCAGCGGTTTGGAATATTTCACTACGATTAATTATACACGTCGCCGGCTCGGCTAGAAGTATTCGAAAACGGCGCGGTGCGCACCGTTCCCCGGCCAATTATACGGGTCGACTCTTTCATTGCGGCAATTAATTGTGACGAGTCGAAAGAGGAGGAAAGGTCGGCGCGCCTTCTCTTGATTAGCGTCTCTCTGTCTACGCCGTCTACGTTCAATCACGCCAATTTCGCGGACTTTTGTCGCAGGACCGACGCGGGAACGGAGAAAAATATCGCGATAATCGACGAATCGAGGTAAACAGTCAAGAGGATATTCCGATTTTATTTCAGATTGGGGTTCGGACAATTTCCAACGTGACACACGTCTGTACAAAATTCATCGTGTATTCGCGGTACGATGCAGACGCGATTAAAATCGAGGAGGATTAAATGGAGATAGTTCAATAGTTCACGCACATATGCACATCTTTTCATCGTGAAAATCGCGCGGTCAGTATTGTAATTTTATCGAGATTTCGCCTCCGCCTAATCCCCTCTGCGCTTGATCCGTGGGAACGATGTTCTTGACTTTCAGAGATCAAGTTCTCCATCTATCAGTACTGTGTAACGCAATCCTCTCTCTACGTGCTTCATCTAACTACGACAGATTCCTACGGGAAAGGTAGTGCCGGCTCTCTAACAAGAAAACCGTCGGAAGTGTCCCTCACCGGTTCTGATGAGCCTTGGATATGTTGCAAAACAGCAAAGGAACAAAATAAAAGACCCGAGAACTCTCTTTGATGTGCTTGTCTGCACGTTTAGGGGTTAAAGCAATCCCTCAAAGATAACTCAGCGGATTTAATTTCCAGCGGATATCAGGGAAACTGAGTGAGGCGTATGAAAAAATATTTTATACAAAAGTTTCATGGTATCTTGGACTCTGTACAATGGTGCACTCAAATACACCAGGTTGAAAGGTATTGTGAATACAGGGAAAAAATTGGCGATAGATCGATATTAAATAGCTACTATCGCAAGCTCAACTACTGATTTTTCTTATTTACCGCTCCTCTCCCTCACTCTCACTCTTTTTCTCTATCTCTCTCTTTCTTTCTCTCTCTTTCTCTTTCTCGGCTCTATCGAAATTTAATCTCTGCATCTTAGCTCGCCTGTGGAAAAGCATTTAAACCAATTACATCCAGCCCCGATTATCGCGGGTAAGTGGAAATAATTTTGCGAATTTCACACAGACTCTTGCGATAATATTTCTCGCCCCCGATAACTTAACCGAGATTTATGAAAAGACGGCGTTTTGTGCGGGAAGGAGAGGAGAGAAATGGCCAGCTTTCCCGTATAATCCGTTCGACCAGGGATTGCTCTCGGGGAAAAACATCGTGATCGGGTTTATCTTCAATTCATGCGTTAACCGTGAAAGACGCCATAGAACGCGAACTGAATTAATCGATTAATCAACGATTCGAACAACATTAACTCGATTAGAATTTTATATTATTAGAATTTTATATTATTGAAAAAAAATAAGTGTATTCAATACAATGTGCAGTCAAGTACAGTTTTTATGCAGTCAAGTTAGTTTAATTAATCATTAATGTAACAAGCTTGTAATTAGGATGATCATTTTCATTTTCCAGTGATTGTTCTTGATGTGAGTTAAGAAAAGTCTCGCGTCTTTGCGTCTTATCTAAAAGAAGATATCTAATAGCCTTTCATGAACTACTCCCTCTTCTAAGTACAGGGGAGTCTCATTAAAAAGGGTCAATTAAGCGATGTCGAATATAAGTCGTTGGATTTCAATCTGCGCGCGAGAATGGCGGATTGTGCCGGAGGATATTAAAATGGAGGGTTCGCAGATCAAAAGAGGGGAAAGGCGAGCTTATAATTTTCTTGCGAAAATACACACGGCAAGACGCGATTTGCACGGTGAGAATATTCCCGGAAGAAAACCTCTTAACGTCGATAAAGAACGTTCCGGGATCGCGAGTAGCTCGGGAAAGAGGGGAGGATGGGACGCGAGTTCGAGGGGAATTTGTGGCGCTGGGGAGATCAAAAGGAAAAGAGCGGCAGAACACACTTACTGGCGAGCATAATGGTGGTGGCATTTCCGCCGAGTGCATCCTTCAGCAGCCAAGTGAGCGAGGAATCCCTGTAAGGGATGTATCTTCTGCCGGGTCCGCTTCCGGTCGAGCCCCTTTCGGCGAGGGCAGATATCACGTTCCCCAAAGCCACCAAGCTCTTGTTGATGTTCGCGCCTTCCTTTAAACGATAGCGAAGATGGTGTCAAAATTAAAATTGCTCGAAGACACACAGGCCGCGTCGAGATCAAAGTGAATTCAACGATCTCGCCTTGTTTTGTCTGTTTATCGAACAGAAATGACTCGTGACGGTAATATAACGCAAACGAAGCTTGACATTTCTAATGACGATAAATGACTAATACTGCAATTCTAAACAGAATCGTAAGTCTCGTAACTTGTTCTCGTAAAATTCGTAAGAATTTATGAGTAGATTTACTATTGTATGCAATATCATATGTCGTACAATCACTTGTAAATATCGTAAATTACATGAAATCGTAGATATTTATGAGTAATTATATAACATATAATATTGAATAGAATTGTAAATTTACTCATAAGTTCTAACGTATTTTACGAGAACAAGTTACAAGACTTACGAAAGAATTTATGAGTAGATTTACAATTGTATGCAATATCATATGTCGTACAATCACTTGTAAATATCGTAAATTACATGAAATTCTGTTTAGAATTGCAGCATAAATCTCTACACTTTATTAGTGTATATACACTTTTTTAGTGTATATTTTAGTGTATATTTAGTGTATATTTAGTGTATCTAATCTGTATTTATCTGGTCTGTTAGAAATTATATATCTTCCTCTCGATTTTTTGTATCAAAAGTAAAGGTCAAATATTGTGAAGTATGGTCGTGATGTTATTTCATCTTTTCGAATTGACAAAGAAAAAATATTAGAAAGGAAGAAAAAGAGAGAAGTCTGTCAACAGTCAAACGGTTTTGTTACGTTGTGTAAAATTTTCCATTCTAACGTATAAATATTTTATTTAATAAAGAAAAACATACTCTCGCGTTCGCACGAGAAACACCGCCAGAGATGACCCTCGAGCTTCTACGACGCTGACAGCGCGATGATCCTTTCTGCATTTTGGACGGCATACTCGATGTTCAATCACAAACGTTAACACACGTTAAGGACGCGATTGGATCGGCTCACAAAACACACAAACGCCTGATCCAGGTTGTATCCTTCACATCTCATGCACTAAATCCGATCTCAGTCGGAACGGTTTCATGTTTACACGAATTAACGCGCGATAAAGTGCGAATTCCACACGATATACCTGCCACACACAGTTACACTTAGAAGAAGAAACGCAAGAGCAAGGATTTTCGTTCGATAATTAAATTCTTTAGGGGCGTCTATACACAAAACAGCAACAGATAGCTCGAGATAAATCGACGAATAACGAGGCGCGAACGTCTCGAGAAAACACAAGTTAGGAGTTTATTCTACATTCGTTTCGACACTTCTTCGCTCACTTGTTTGCACGTCCGCGAGTAACCCGTTCGAGTTGGTTGTGCTCGATTAGGCGAGTCCATTAGCGCACAATGGCGGTCGGCAGGAGATTGATAACGCGAGCGGGAGCTCGATCCGCGCGGGCTCGCGCGAATATCGATTCTCATCGCGAAATTCAACCTCGGCGGATATCCCGGCTGACGATATTATTTTTAGGAAATGACTCACCTTCAGTCGATGAACGCCGCCGCAGGTGGCCGCGCTCTCGCTGCCCGCCAGATCGACCAGGTGCAACCTGCTGCCGCCGCGCGGAGCGGCGTCCTGCCTCCTGCAGGACGAACTGCCGCCGAGACGCTCGCTGAGACGATCGCCGTTGACCGTCTCCTGCGAGAGACCGACGGTGAGTAACGCGTGACTACGACTGCTGCTAGGATTCTGAAGGGTCGAGGCTGTCTTCCTGGCCTTCGTACCTTCCTCCACGTATGACATCAACGACCCCAGGGTGGGAACCACGTGATGCGTCAACCCTGAAAGAAAGGGGAACTAGTGAACGAAGGAGGAGACAAGTGGCGATTGACGACGGTAGGATTTCATTGAATTTCGTTATTGCAACAAATCATGACAGATGAGTGGTGGGTCAAGTGAATCGAGAAGACAGATGACGAGATCGAGTTATTAAGTTTAGTTTATCGTGTGTGAAACCTGTGAGCGCAAAAATATACTATCATCCTAGGCTTCAAGAACACTAAGATTCATTGATGGATTAATAATCCCTATTAATAATCCCTAACGAAAAAGACACTGTCCATAGTCCATAGAGTGTTATTAGACGTATAGAGAGTGCCTTACTCGCCAGGAACTGATCTTTTACTATCACCAAGGATTCAAGTATCGAGATGCAATATCTAAATATAACCCCAGAGTTCGGAAATGGGACAATTGGACGAATAAAAAATTCGAACAAAGACAATAGTAAATATAAAACAATATAAGCAACACAAAATTAAAAAGAAAAAACGTCAAAGGATGAATATTTATCGTCGCATGGAGATGACAACTAATCGTATTAGGTCCAAACTTTGAGCAGATCTTATATACAAACAGTTATTTAGATATATAAAATTTATAAAAAAAAATAAGATATATAAAATATAAAAGATATAAGAAAGATAAAAGATAATTATATAAGACTTACAAGAGAGAGACTTATACAAATTGTGTGTTATAGTTCATAGATTTATAAGATTTCACAGTTAAGCAGAAAGTTTCGATAATTAATTTTCTACAATGTGCAATCTTGATTCCATCTATTTCGTTCGAATCAAAGTCAAAAGCTGCGTTCGCTTTGGGCGCTTACGCGCTGTAAGCGTCATTCTATCTTTATCGCTCATTACATGTGAGAAGAAGATAGAATGACGCTTACAGCGCATAAGCGCCCAAAGCGAACGCAACCAGAATCGCGTAATCATGTATTTATTTATTCACTTATCTTCAGTTTAAATCGCAAAATAAATCGATGATAATAGAGAGACAATTCGAGGAAGCGGAACGGAGTTACAGCTTTCAAATGCAATTTGCCTCATGTCGTTACGACTTTTCTGCGCAAAAACGTCAACAAGCGACGAATCCTTTGATGAAGACCGAGGACTGCTAAGAATGTCGCGTGTCGCTTGCTTTTAGCCGAAGAAGCGAGAAGTGCGAAGTCGACGGCACAGGCGCACTACAATGTACCAAATGTGCCCTTTGCCGGCGCGCCGAGAGACCGCACGTTGTTCCAAACACTTCGAGCGTCTCTATCTCGACGAAAAATCGGCATACACACATGGAACAAACGTTATTCTCCTTGAAATTTCGCGCGGCACACGTTACACTGTTTACCCACGCTCTTGTTGTGACACACATTTACGTGTACAGCTACAACACGTGGTATACGCGATAAATCGTGCAAAGATACACGAAAATACATTTATGCTGCAATTCTAAACAGAATCGTAAGTCTCGTAACTTGTTCTTGTAAAATTCGTCAGAACTTATGAGTAGATTTATAAGTCTATGCAATATTATATGTCGTACAATTATTTGTAAATATCGTAAGTTACATGAAATCGTAGATATTTACGAATAATTGTACAATATATGATATTGCATACTTGTAAATCTACTCATAAGTTCTGACGAATTTTGCGAGAACAAATTACGAGACTTACGATTCTACTTAAAATTGCAGCATTAGATACAGAAACGAAGAGCCCCGAAAGCTTTTATCGCAAAAAGTACGAGGTATCATATCAGTTTCACATCTTGTTGAAAAAATTTCCGCGTGACCCGTCATGTTTTTAAATATTTGCGAATCCACAGTGAAAAATGCATTGCTGCGTGTTAAGCTCGAGCGAAGTATACCTTGAACATAAGGTCCTAGTCGAGGATGTTCCCGAACCTTCAGCCCGCTCACAGTCGCCGACGGTTTCAAGAGATCCCGCACTCTCTCGTTATATATCTCCAAATAACTGAAACAGATTTATCGTGTATAAGTAATTCGAGAATAATTTTTTTCACTATCTCATCGTGACCAACGTTCAATACTCAAATCATCGATAATCCAACAAACTTTTGCAAGTCCTTAATATAAACTCGCAAGAAAAAATACAGGTATGAAATACAATCGAATTAAAAAGGTAATATATAAGAGATCGCGCAAGATATCAATTGTGAAACTTCCCGAAAGAAACAAAAAATAGAACTTCCCAAAATAAACAAAAACATCGAATTTACCCAAAAACACTCAAACGTTTCGCTTGCCATGCCGACTCTCCTCAATACAAATCAATAATGCACCAGTATTATACAGTTGCGGATTTATCACACATGTGGAGTATCTCACACCTCAAGTATAAGTGGTCAGAATCATTTTTCATCTATATTTAATTTTGCATCTAAGAGTTTCGATAATTTATTCAAAAATCAAATACAGGTATAACACACGTCGCACACATCATCATCATCACCACCAAACTGGTCTATCTTCTCTTCCCAAAACGACCAAATATTACACAATCGGAATAATCAACTTATTCACGAGCTTTTCACAGAGCACATCAAGAAACTCGTCCGATCGTTAAATCTATTAAAGGTCGGGTCCAAGCGAAAATAGAATTCTGTGCTAATCGGTAAACAAATACCAAGCCCCCGCGCGTACCGCGACGCGCCTTCATCTCAATTACGGTCGAAGAAGACACGTTCTCACGATACAAGCGCGTCGAAGCGTGTCGCGGGCGCAAACGTGAAACGTCTCTCGTAAGCGACGAAGACGAGGACGAAGACGAGAGAGACTCTGGGGGACCTCGCGGCTATACGACACGTGAGGTCTCCACGTGGAAGCTCCTGGATCCTCTTAACGTCATTATCCGCTCCGTTGCACCCGCGGAACGTTCGCACGTGCACTCGTAAATCGGCTTAACAGCGATTGCGACCTCGAACGGTCACGTTCACCAGGTGAAACACTTTCTAGGCTGGTTTCCGAGACCTGCCACGCATCTCTCTTCTCCCCGCTTGCTCCCCTTCTTTCTTGCAATTTCTCTGTTTTCCTTCTTCTCTCTTGAATCTTACGACTCTTTTCGTTTTCCGTCGTGACGGATCACGTGTCTTCGCAGATTTCGTTCCATCGAACACGATCACACAGGGGAAATGGAATTTCCCATTTAAAGTTTATATACGTTTTATATATGCATATAAAAATATACATGTAGATGTATAAAAAAATATACATATCTACATACATTTTTTATCCTAATATCTATTAAATAATATATTTCAATATTAATTATTATATATATGCAATGTTCGTAGAACTATTAGATATTATTTTTTAATGAAATTAGTATAATATTCGTAATTAATTCTAGAAGAGATTTGTGTTACTATCTATGTGTGTATTATTATATTATTATATTATACAATATTATTTATATTATTATTATATATTTATATTATTATAATCAATATAATATTCGAAATTAGTTCTAAAAAAAAGATCTGTACATTCTGTGAAGTTGGTTTGTTTGGATCATTGAGTCCTCAAGACAGTAAGAGATCATGCCACATTGTTTATATTTTTTCAAAATTACTTGATCTGTCGATTTGCAAACGTAACAAATATTTGCATGAAAGAACTAATCAGAACGACCGTTCTGACTCGAAGAGGTCTGCTCACTTGATATATTTCGTAGTTGTATGTAATCGACGTATAAAAATATTTTATGTATAAAGTAAAATACATAAAGGCTCTAAGAAGAAACAACATACTAATAGAGCGAGTAAGAGTCAATGTCGGTCTTGGAGCGAGATTGTTTATAAACATCAGTCATATATTATCTACCACTATACAATTGTACACAATGGTAGATAACAACTGATGCTTATACATTTTGCTCTAAGATCAGCATTGGCTCTTACTTCGCTGGATCGAGCGACAACCATGGCATTTATTGCGCTGAACAATTACGCACAAATACTTATTTGTGTTTCAAAAGTAAAGATATAAAATAGAGAAATTTTATGAAAAAATGGAATTGTTTCACATGTCCCTCCCCCCCCCCCCCCC